ACTTCATTTAAAAACAAAACAAAACAAAACAAAACATACTAGCAGAGGTTATCAGGTGGTACCACTACTTCTAAGAAACATCATCTCCTTACCAAAAAGATTTGCAAGAATGTTTGTGGCCGAGGACCTAAGGTACTTGCTACAGGGATGTGAGGTCAGAGGTCAGTTCAATCCTGCAATATAAACGCAGCAAACCTGGGTCATATCAAAACAGCAGCATTGTCAGGAGGTGCCTGGCAGCGGGGCGGTGGGGAGAGGAGAGGGGGGGAGGATGTAAAGGGGTATGAGGCAGGACGAAGGAGGCGGCTGAGCTGCACTGCTACTCTCAACTGATCTGCTTAGCATCTTACCTGTGGGCAGCTCTGCCCCAATATAGCAGCTAGAGAAGAGGAAGCTGTGAAGCCTGAAATGAAAAGTTGCTGACGCCACAGCCGAGATCCAGAAGACAAGAAACCAGAAACAAAACACAAGCTTCTGACAAACACACAGAAACATGGAACATTGACAAGAAAATAAAGGAGCCGTTAGGAGAAATTCAGCAGTCGGCCAATGCCCCTTCACATGGAACGCCGAGCAGAACTTTGAAAAGAACCCCAAAGTGGAAGAGCCAACTCCAGGTGTGTTCTCGACGGGTTTCAGGTGTGACGGTACCTCACAGGAAACCCCTTTAAAAAGGAATTAAATGGAAATAGGGGATGGATCCTGTGTGTCAATGCACCTGATGAGGAAGCCATCTTGTAGAATCAACCTTTCTCCAGGATTAATTTCACGGGGTGAAATCCTGGCCCTGATGAAGACAAGGGTCAAACTTCTATTGACTTCAGTGTCCTAGGATTTCAGCCACAGATTCTAAGGTCAGAAGGGATCATTATGATCACCTCGTCTTAGGTCTTGCAGAACAGGAATTCCAGGCCATAACTTCAAACAACAATGCCTGCATCCAGCCCATAACTTCTGGTTGAGCTAGAGCACACAGTACGATAGAGGCTGGTTTAAACACTTGTAGAGTAGGATAGTCTTTCGGTTCAATAGGTGTTCCAAGAGTAATTTCTATAGAACCCTATTGGTGTCATTCACTTTCAGTTCTACAGGACTTGTCCATAAGGGCTCTGTCTGAGTGGAAATGGTGGGATGAAGCTACCAGACATGGCCAACTTGCTACATGTTAGCGAGTGGAGAGTTTGGTCCGGATAGAAATATAAAGAAAGGGGAAACGCAAATCAAGTTTTTACTGCTGTCACCAATACAGGGTCACCACAGATACAGCAGAGCTAGCTGGAGCCTGTTCTGCCTCATGGATCAGTAACAAAACTAGCAACAAAGTTTTGTTCCAGATTCTTTACAACTGATGATGGGTAAGAGAGAGAAAGAGCCCAGCATGACTCTCAGATCCCCAGGGAAGTTTGAAGCTTCTGGGGCACAGGGGGAGGGGAAATTCTCTGCTGAGTTATAAATGGAGCAAGTTTGAACTGGAGCAAAACTAAATACAGAACCCCATAGTGTCACCTATATGGAAAGTCACTCTTCTGACTACAGCACTTTTCCAATGTGCCGGTAAGAAGGATGTGGGTAAAATGCCTTTGCCATCGGGCTGCAAGGTAACCTGAAAGTTTCTAACTCCAGTGCAAAGTAACAGTTAAAGGTGATCTCCACACAGTGAGCTGGAAAGGGTACACAGCCAGGGGAAAGCAAGGCTCACTCATGGGAACCTAACTTCAGGGCAGTCAACGGGAATCCTAGTGAGTATTTTTTTCTTGTTTGGGCAGGAGTTTGATTTTGCTAGGCATTCTCTGCACATAGCCCAGCAATCAGGAGTTTATCCTGCACTTCTTCCCCTAAGATTACAGCCCTCAATCCCAGAGAAACACATCACCAGCTGAACTGGGCCCATCTCATCCCAAAGGTGCATTTTACGAGGCGGACATGTCAGTTTTCTAGGAGACTAGGAACACAGCAAGTCATTCACTGCTCCTTTACCTCCTCAAAGCCAGCGAGGCCCCTCCCTCACTGCTTGGCACTGAAAGGATGATGAGAAGAGACAGCCTCAGAGGGTTCCTGAGGGGAAAATCCCATAAGACGGTCGGTTCTGGCTCAGCTTTGCCAGGATCAAGATGGCAGCAATCTATAATTCATTAGCTTTCTGTTATATCTCCCAAGACCAGGGGAACCTGGCTTATGACACACATGTCCTGGGCTGGATCCTCTCATAGACTGCCTGTGTTACAAGTTCCCAATTTGCTTTCAACAGGTCCTCACCAGACCATGGCTCTCCTATGCCCCAGCACACAAGGCTGTGGGATAAAACAGAGGGCTTGCGTCTCCCTTGCCTCACATCCTGTGCGGGCAGTTACACCAGTACAGAGCAGGTGTACAATGTTACCCTTCCGATTTAGCAGCTTTTTACACCCACTCTGCAGTAATGTATGTGATTACCCAAGTTGCAGGGCAATGGAGAATCAGGCTCCAGGGCTTCCACTACAGAAGCAGAGGTGGATATTTCCTTCGTTGTACCATAGGGGAAGTAGACTTTAAAGTGAAAAGACAACAGTTTGAACCCCACTTGCCGCATCACAAAGGCCAACCCATTAGCAATGGAAGAGAGCTGCCTAACCCACTATCCTGGCAGTTAGTAAGCTAGAAAACCAGCATTATCCCCAACCCTGGACAGGAGGAATCACCAAGGCCTTGAAGCTAAATTTGCCTAACAGCTAAGTCTGAGATGCAGTGACAAGGGTATAAACTTCCTTCACTTCACTCAAGTCTTTAGTAACTATAGATCTACCATAGGCTTTTTTATCATACCTGCCACCCATGGCATTGACCCAAAACACTGGGCCTGGAAAACTCTGCTCCACTGTAACTGTCCCAAGAAAATTCAGTCCATCAGACAGCTTATAGAGACGTGTGTGTGTGTTCTCACAGTGGAGATAGTCATCTGAATAGGAATGAACAGCTTAAGAGACAAGAGTCCCTTAGGCAGCCTTTGAGAATTCATCAGCGACGCAACTTTCATTACTGTTCTGAAAAGGCAATGGGTAAAAACCCCAGAATATGCTGTGTTATGTAGGGAGAAAATCTGGGCTCTGTTGTTTGGAGGTAAGGCAAACCTTCCCCTCTGGCCTGAATGAAAGGGAACTGCAGAAGTTGGGTGGGTAGCAGGGTACAGTACCGGTAGTTATCACTCTAGACACTGTCTGGAGGCAATTGTTAAGAACATTCCCCAGTTAATAGAATGCAGTCTCAGCAGAGAAGCCCCATAGAGTTAGTGACTGTACAGCAATGTACACACTAGTTCGCTGGTAGCTAGTGGAACCTAGGAGGGACTGGCTGGGAGGGGGTGGGAATGCCCCCATCTCCAAGGTTTTTGCACTCACTCAAAATTTCTTAAGCTGCAGTGGCCTGACCGCTTTTGAGCAGTGGTTTTTTGGTACTAAATCATACAGCTGTGCGGGAGCAGTATGGAGCGTTGCTTCAGCTGCATGGTCACAGTGCCACTGAAATCTGACCCACGAGAGGCTTTGCGACCTGGCGCATGGGGTTGCGACGCCACTCAAATTTGGCCTAGCTACCCCTCCGTACAGACACATGGGGGATCAGCTAAATGGTGTTGCAATGTGGCTCACAGGAAGTCTCTTCCTGTTTCGCGGAGTGCAGGGGAGTCACTGAGAGCTTGACGTCTGGCAGCACCAGCTCATGCACTGAGTAGGTAAGAAAGAGAGGAGACTCCCCAGCTGAGGGAAACCCAGGGTCTCTGTGGGGGGAGAAGGAACGAGGCAGGGAGGGATGGGATGGGATGAGCAGGGACTGGAACAGGGTCCCTGCTGGGGGTGAGGAGGAAATGGAATTTGCCCCACCTAAGAAATATCTGAATTGGTGCCATTGCTCGTAGTCACTGAGCTGAGAACAGCGGTTCATTCAAAATGGGGTTTTATGCACAGGCTGCGGTTTGGCGTGGGGGCTTAGTCTGGGCTTTATCAGATTGCAAGATGGCAACTCAATCTGCCAAGTTCATTTTATGAAAACGTGGCAAGCCCTGGGGCGTAAAGAGCCTTGGAAAGCACCCCACGTAGAATTCTAGAGGAGCAGCAAACTTCAGGCCTTCTCAGCAAGCAACTGTGAACTTGATCCACAGAAATCAGAGGTGGGAAAGAGCCACTAGGCCATCTGGGACCTGGGTTTCATAGCTGCTGAGTACCTGTGCTTCCCAATGACCTCATTCGATTTTGTGAGTGCTCAGCACTTCTGAATGTCAGGTTCTCTGTTCTCCCCTGCCCTCTCCAGGTTGTACCATAGGATTGTCTCATATAAATTTTACAATGACTTGAATGGTTATCATCATCCCTTTACATTCAGGCTGCAGGGCACAATCTTATTGTATTCATGGAAAATAATACTAAAGCCCTACATTAACTTCTGGGTCCCAGCATCTCTGGGTTTTAGTCAATCTCTGAAAACTCTCATTTCTGAGACCTTCCATGAAAACACACCAGGTAAGTGATGTAGAAAGGAAGATGGGGCCAAAGCCTCAGCAGGACTAAATCAACATGGCTCTGATAAAGGCAGTGGAGCTATGCTGATTTACCCAAGATGAGGATCCTGCCCTTGATTTCAGTGGAGCTGTGCCAATTTACACAAGTTGAGGATCTGCCTCTAAGGCCCAGATCTTCAAAAGGCATTTAGGCACCTAACTCCCATTGATTTCCGTGGGAGTTAGGCACCTAATACTTTTGAGGATCTGACCCAAAGTATCTACAGAAGGAGCTTGAACAGATACAAGGGAACCCAGGGTCATGGTCTCCCCACGTTCCAAATCCAGGTTGCTTCTAACAGCTCTCCAACCTCTCTTAAAGGGACAGGTCCGGACCAAAAGCACTGGCCAGACATTCACACCACAGCTCCCGCTGCTACTCATGGAGGAGAGGGGTTAAAATCGACACCGTGCTGCAAGAGGATGGCCGCAAGGTGGCCTTTTGTCCAAAGTAAGAGGAAGCTCAACGTACCTTTGCTCCTCCTCGAGTTCTTCTTTGGTCATCATTGTCTTATACTGGTTCCCCCTCAGCTTTCCGGGGCTGTATTTAAAGGAGATCTGCTCGTCCGCTGCTGGAGAGAGAGAGCAGTTGTGTGAGAAAGGAGACGCTGGTGAGTTCTGGCAGGCGGCCAATGGGATGGATGGATCCCTTGCGCTCCTCCCGTTGCACCCTAGAGTGGGAGAGGCGCCACCCTGGAAGCACATTTGACAGCTAAACACCGACTGGAGGCACGAAAATCTTCAACAAAGTTATGTGATGCCAGTGGAAGCCGAACAGTACCTTTAACAAGACCCTGGCCTGGTCATTCAGGGAGAGGGTTAGAGTCCTGCCTACAGCTGACTAACATCACAACCATCTAATGCTGTTGGCGTCACTGAGTCTGCCCGACTCACCTGGAGTTGGCAACAATCTGTGGTCCAACGTTAGTGACCTATCCCCTTTGAAATGAGATACAACTAAATTCTACCGCATAGGGAACTTGTTGGGCTATTTCTCTCCCCTGGAGTCAGAGCTCTGGAGACTCATTGGGCTTAGCAGGAGGATGGTAACCGTAGCCTGCAGAATTCATCTCTATTTCTGTCTGGACATTCCTTTCCCCCCTTCCCCAGGAGCTAGGACCCCCATGCTCATGCTTTGGGTTTGTGAATAATCGCTCAGGAGACCATGCTGTAAGCACACTGGGCATGTAACACACAATCTATTCAAAATCACGATGGTCCAGTCACCCTGGCCGTGCCCCGGGCTTCGAAATCACAACATTCCAGCAGCCAGGAGCATTGCAAGAAAGCTTGAGAAATGGCTTTGGGAAAGGGAGACACCATGTGGCAAATTCCTGGGCTGCAAACAGAGATGGTCCAAAACATTCTTGACCCGATCAACAGCTGTGATTGCAGTGGTGCTGAAGTCCCTCTGGTGCCAATGGATAGACACAACGGGAAAAGGATCCTCTTTATTACCCAGTTTGGGTCGCATCCCTTTGGGAGAATGCAGTGTTTTCAACCCGGGGGTCCACAGACTGTCTAAAATTTCCAAAAGGGTCCGCACCTATATTTGAAATATTTAGGGGTCTGCAAATGAAAAAAGGTTGAAAACCACTGCTCTGTTGCAGGCATTCTCTCCTCTGCCCAAGCCCCTAGATCACATCTCTTTGCTAATTAAAACTCTGTAGCTCACAGATGTGGAGCCAGAGCTTTAGCTTCTCCAAGCAGATTTTGCTCGAGCTCTTTGTTTATTTTTAACCCACTCCTAAATGCATCCCAGGAGGGCCAGGGCTCGTGCATATTTGTTGGCTTTATAAAAAAATAAATAAAACATCTAGCGGCTGTGTTGAGATAAAGTCAACGTTCCAGGGACCATAGGGCCATGTTGCCTCCTGCCAGATACTCTAGCATGGCTCCTTCCGGCACAAGAGAAGGATACAGACCAGAGGTGTTGTAAATATCCCTTGTACCTGCCCTAGCTAGTGCGAGAAAGAGAGAACTTTTGAACCTTGGAAGGATCCAGCCTTTGTTTGCTAATCCTCTTGTCTTTGCCTGATCAAGCTATTTTCTCCTACTTCCCAAGCTCAAGGGCTGGAAAAACAGAGGTCAAAAACTGCCACCACATTGCTTTTCTGTCCACAGCTGAGCTCCAAACACTTTCCAGGCCTCAGAATACCCATGGGGCAGGCAAGTACAAGCCTCAATTTACAGGTGGGGAAACCGAGATGTGAAATGACTTGCCGAAGGCCGCTTGCAGTGTTGTGTAGTCATGTGAGTCCCAGAATATTAGGAAGACATGGTGGGTGAGGTGATCACCAACCTTGTCTCGCCCATGGCCACACAGGCAGAGCCAGGAATAGAACCCAGGTGTCATGTTTATTACATGACAGTCATTGCTAGGGTAAAAAAATATCCCACAGAGCATGCATCCAGGTTTTAGTGTGAACCGATGTTTACTGGTACAAACCTGTTAAAACTGCAGACTTAACAGGAAACAGAGGTTCCCAGTCAGAACTTCTCCTCATCCACCACCTCCACAAATATTTCACATTTCACTCCCCAGTCGCTGCACCTCAGCGTGTCAACAAGCCTCACGCTGATCCTGGTCAGTTTTCCACTGGGGAAGATTCCGAATCAAGGGCTAATCATTTAGCCGTAGCACTGGAGTGAAAACAAAGGCCGCTGTCTGGCCTCTTGTGAAAAGCTACACCCATTGCCCAACAGCTCAGCAAACCTAAGCCTGTCACAGTGCCCTCGCTCCACAGCCCAGAAAACGCAGCTCCGTAAAGTCTCATTTCCCTCAATGGAAAAAACTCAGCACTGGCAGGCAAACAAGCCTGATCAACTGGAAGCAAACAGAGACTAGGCTCAGTTAACCAGGCACTAAAAACGAGCCTTAAAAGTGCTGTTGAAACATGCCTGTAACTGGTTGTTGCTCGGGGAGATATCAGGCCTGAGTCTCCTCTTACTTGCACTTGTGTAAATCAGGAGTCATTTCTCTGAAGTCAGTGGAGTTTCACTAAGGTATGTGAAAGGAGAATCAGGCTTTATCGGTGCCCTTCACATCACAAATCTTTATTCTTAACATCTTTTGCTTGATAGAAAACCAAGCCGGTTTTCCCTCCCCGAACAGGGGCTGTTCAGATCAGAGTGAAGAAGGGACTCTCGAAATTGAGGGGAAGGGGAATAGCCATTCGCCCATCTGCCTGCCAACCTGTGCTTGTAGGTTTTGAAGGAAAGAGCTGGAAGTTTTCAGTGCTCAAGGGCTCTCTTTCTCTTCAGATTGGAGATAAGTGTCAGGAAATACATTGAAAATTCTAGGCATGATTTTTCCCAGGAACTGCAAAATATTTACGAGTATAAAATGACCTACTTAAATAGAACAGCCGTGAGGTGAGTTTTAAAAAAAGATATTTGTCTTGTGTATTTCCCCCGCCAATGTCAGCAGGTTTCCAAGACGCTGGGTTTGCAGGGTATTTTCTTACTGGCTGTCATTTGGTAAAAAGAAAAGAATCCTAATTAAAATCTACCTCTCCATACCCAGTGCTTCTTACTCTCCTAGACACCTTGGCTCTAGCTCCAGGAACCTGCCAGATCCCCAGAGGTTTCTGTACAACTTTGCTTGTTGAAAGAAAAGAAGAATGGTGTCTTGTGTTGAGGCCATTCAACTAGTATTTAGAGAGACCTGAATTCTATTCCTGGCTCTGCCACAGACTTCCTGCGTGTTCTTGGGTAAATCACTTAATCGCACCGTGCCTCAGTTTCCCCATGTGTAAAATGGGGACAATAATACTTTCCCACCTCACAGAAGATGTGAGGATGCATTCATTAATAACTGTGAGGTGCTCAGACACTACTGCAATGGAGGCCATATAAGTGCGTAAATAGAAAATGCATTAAAGAAATAAAAAGGTAGCTGGCTGACAATCCAAGATCCTTGTGGTTATACTAGATGCGCACACATGGCTTAGTATCCCCACTGGCCAGACTGAGTCATCATCTTATCCAGCCCATTAAAATGCCTGAATTATTTAGAACATTCCTTTAAAAGGGAATGAATTGCAGCCTGCATGTCTACAGTACCATTTATCCAAGGACAGGATGGTTAGTTAAGCGTCACAACTCCCTCTGCCTCCCCATCCCAGTAGTGGAAAAGGGAACACTTAACCTTACCCGGAAATGCAGCCACTTCAGGGATGGGACATAGTAACACTTTAACAGCACCCAGCAATACAGTTTAGGGCAGGAACTGAAGATCATAGCATCTATTTCAAATAGGGTGACCAGATAGCAAGGGTGAAAAATCGGGACGGGGTGGGGGGTAATTGGCACCTATATAAAACAAAGTCCCAAATATTGGGACTGTCCCTATAAAACTGGGACATCTGGTCACCCTAATTTCAAACTGCTGGAGGAATTCAGGCACGCAGAATGGGGTTACCCATCTCACTTCCTTTTTCCCTTTTACCACTGAACAAGGAGTCGGGGGGAGGGAAAAAACAGAAGAGAGAAAAGTGTTCAGGTTCTGTTTTTTCTTTTCTTCTAATAAAACAATGATGATGACAACGACAATGTCACCGATACTGAAGAACCCAGGCCCGGGCAAGTGAGTGCCCGGGCAAACAGCAGTTTGGGAAGGGAAATGCAGAGGCTGGAGATGGGCAGCTTAGTGAGATTCCGATCAGTTTCCGTGGCTGAGCTTTGCAACTGAGCCTGAGGAATTTAGCGCGGAAAACTGTGGCCTAAGCGCTTTGTTAATGTTGGCCCAAGGCTCTTGAAGACAGAAAGGAGGAGAACTGAGCAAGAGAATTTTAACAGCTTGGAAAAGGCTGGAGCCTTGATCCTTTACCATAATGCTGGCCGGGGGCACATCATCGTGAAGGCCCTCATTTAGCAAAACAAGCCGGTGTGGCCGCCTATTGCTAATGCGGCAGGTACTGCCATGCAGGCGGCCTGTAGCAGGCACCATGCACGGAGCCTTGTGCTGCAGGGACTGGGGCAGCGCAGACAACCCAGAGCAGGAGGAGGGGGTGCTTTTTCCAGGTGTGAGAAGATAGGGAAGAGCCGTGAGCCCCTCAACACTGACCCCACTAGCCAGTGAAAGTGGGGGGCCAATGGCCAATAGAGGGACTCCTAATTCAGCCCCACTCCAAGCATGGGTTTGCCATAGCTCTGACTCCTTGGTAGCACAGGTTCCAAATCCCAACGTCATTAGCCCAGGCTGACCTCCTCCTGAGGCCGGCTGTTAGGGCTCTCTTACAGTTTTGAACAACAGACTGGTTGCAAGAGCAGCTGCAGTTTGCCACAGGATCCTGGGCCCAAACTCCCCTCCCCCTCCCTTGTGTGGCCTGCTGTGTGCCCTCTCCCAGCCCAGAGGCAGCTGCATTTCAGACAGTAGAATTGAAGGTCTACAGGAGATGAAGGGAATTTGTCAGGATAAAAGGCAACACAGTTGAGTGGCATGTGCCCTAGACTGGGAGTCAGGACACCTGAGTTCTGGTCACAGCTCCGCCACCCACTGGCTGTGTTCCCCTGGGGCAAGTCAGGCCAGCTCGCAGTGCCAGGCTCTGTCCCACACACTCCCCTCTCTACGAAACGGTGATAGCGGCTCCCTGCCTTGAAGGTGCATTGCAAGGATTAGCATCTGTCATAAGCCTCCTGCGCCAGAGGGATTGTGACGGGGGCTGCAAAGGCTAGCAAGGAAGTGGGACAGGGAGGAGGGATTCTTACCACCCCGGCCCCCCCCAGGATGGAGGCTATAAGCCATCACATTGACCGTGGTGCTGCTGTGGGACAGTCTCCTGGTCAACACACACACACTTGCCTGCCATCATCTAGTTTGGGGTAGGGGAGAGGGGGGAAGAGTTATGAGCAAGGTTCCTGTGTTGTTGTCCCAATTAATCAATTAATCATTTTCTAATAAAGTCATTGACGAATCAGTTAAACACAGCTCTAGCTAAACCCTCTGGAGATCCCTGGTGCCTTCAAGGAGCTTTTTGCCAGGCTTTGTTCTCGTGTTATGCCAACGGCTGGAAGCAAAAGGCGCAGCACATCTGTCATCAGGATGTGGAGGGAGCTGCTGGGGTGAAACCAATATAAGGAGAAGGGAGGTGAGAGGAACCCACGAGAGCCGCCGTCGAGCTGGTGTGCCACACGCAGTCTTAAAAGGATTAAGCCCCGGGAGGGGGCAGCTGTATTCATACATTGCTGGCCTGTCCTCAGCTCTCCATCCTCTCTGCAGTGTGGAACCCAGTAGCAGCATGGCTCATCCTGGTCCCCTCCCCCTCCCCACCCACCCCCACCCAGGGCCTGCCAGGCTGCCGCCGCAATGACAAATGCCAGTGATGTTATCTGTTCTTTGTGCTCCGCTGACTCTAGCCCAACCGAGCGAATTAACAGCTCAATAATCAGGAGGAAGAGGAAGCTGTCAGCTGCTGAGGGGAGCTAATCCCCAGCCTTCCCCCCAGAGGTTTGCAGCTGAGCAGCTTCCAGGCCTTGCTGACCAGGGGCTATATTTATAGCAAGTGACAGCCTTGCCCTGGTCCCCCAGCATTGTCCTAGAACAGGCCCTCCCACCCCAGACTCTGTGCCTGGCACACAATGAGCAGGGCGAAGAATGCCCAGGCCATTGCATTCCTGCAGCCCTCCCTTCTCTTTCCACTCTCTCTGCCAGCTGGGAATTTAAAGGGACAGAGACCTCAGCCTCATTCTTGCTGGGACAGAGTTTTTAAGATGACGAAGGTGTAAATTGATTGGGTTCTGATCTCAGTGGCAGAGTTCTGTGGTGGTCCCCTCAACTGGTGAGGTTGCCATTTGTTTCATGTTACCCCAGGTCTGTGCTTTCTATTAAGTCCTCTGTCCCGTCCCCCCGTCCCCCGCCCTCCCACCACACTGTCTAGCCCACAACTCTCCTGGATTCTGCCACTGGGGCATTATCATTGCCAAAGTTCCAAGAACAGAGATTTGTCAGCCTGCCGAACGCCCCCCACCACTCCCATGGTCTGATTGTACTGTGCACACTTAAAGTCAGATGCCCCTTGTGTTACTGAAACACTGAGTGTGTTTGCACACAATGTGGGTCTGGTGGAAGCAGGGGCACTGGAACAATGCGTATAGTGGGGGTGCTGAGAGCCACTGAAACAAACTGTAAATCCTGTATATCATGGAAACCACTTCAAGACGTGGGTATGGCAGCACCCGCAGCACCCCTAGTTCCAGCACCTATGGGTGGAAGGAAACACACACCCCAAACTGAAAGGTGATCTGTATGGGGGAGAAGAAAAGGGGGTGTCACCTGCCACTCTATTTTTTCAGGGGGCGGCGGCAGATTATTTCTTTATGGAATATGAAAAAAGGCCCCGCAATGTGCGTTGGGGGGTTTTATACAGTTTTTCCTCCTTGTGTTTCATGACCCTGAACACACTGGCCTTGTCTCCCATTTTGCCTAGAACTCTAGAAGAGGGAAATTTCACTCTCAGTATTCAGGAGCTTCCAGCTCAGACCCAAGCTGGCCCTTGGCAAGGTGGCACTATCTACGTCCTCTCTCCCACCAGCTGCTGCATCGCCAGCACTTACCATCGTCCAGCTCTGGTTCCTTCACCACCAGTCTCTCTTTTTCCCAGGCTTGATCTTCCTCCTGGAGAGAATGAAGAGCAGAGCAGTTCAGAGGGGAGAACAGTGTGTGGAGCAAACGGAGCTCCCCGAGGCGGCATGGTTCGGTGAATCAGACAATGGACTGGGACATGGCAGACTTGGGTTCAATTTCTGGCTCTGCCATTTGGCTGCTGGGTGAGCCTTGGGCAAATCATTTCCCCTCTGTGATTCAGTTTCCCCATCTAAAATAGGGGTAATGATACTAATCTGCATAGAGATCTATGGATGAAAAGAGCTAGTTTTTATTAATAAGATTATATATTCCACACACACACACACACACACTACAGTAAAAGAACATTATGGTTGCCTGTGCATCCTTAATTTGCCCCCCTCCTTGTGCACATACATTATGATACAGTCTTTAATTATGTTGTCACATGCTGTATTTTCCACAGGACAGCTTTTCCTGCCCTATTTGTTGCCCAGGACGGACAGTGCTCATTTAATGATCCGCTATTCAGTATTTTCTCTTCATTATTTCTCTTCATTATGTTTTCTCTTCATTATTCCATGCGTGGCCCTACGTCTTATTTACAGCACACAATTCAAATCCTGATCTGAAGGGAGAATTATTGATTTTCTAGGGCACTACAGTATCCGAGTGCTCCACAAACGTTTGTTTATCTTTGTGGCACTCCCGTGAGATGAGCCATCACCTGTTTTCTCACAGTACTTGGCATATTCAGGCACCGCTCCTAGTGCTTTCAGGTGCAGTTGAGCATACTCACACTTTTGCAAGTCAGACTCTGGCTTCTTGTGAGCTCTCCCCCACCCACAACCTTCTTCTTTCCACTCCACTAGTTCCCAGTCCCAGTCTCCCCTAGTCTAATCTCAGCCCCCTCGCCCATTTCCCTCCTTGGCTTCCAGTCCCAATGTCTTTGGCCAGCCACTCTCATTTCCTCCCAGTCTTCACCCAACTCCCAGTTTCCGTCTCGTTCCCCCTCCATCAGCTGCCCCTCCATTAGCTTCCAGTCCCCCCTGTGTCTCCCAGGTCTGGCTCTTATCCACTCTGCATTTGATTCAATCAGCTTCCTCCTCCACATGAGGTTATGTAGAAGCATCCTCTAATTTCCTATGCCTGATCTAGACCCAGCAAGGCCCAGAAGTCAGGAATTGCAACGGCAGGGAAAGTCCTCCTCAATGCCAGGTTGGTGCCTTTTCAGCGAGGATGGACTCTTCTGGGAATTAAGCTGCAAGGCATAGCAGAGACTTGATAGAGCATTAGCAAATTGCGAGTTTTCAAAAGCTTATTACTTGACCAAATGCAGGCAATTTTCACAGGTATGTCAAAAGGCACATCCCTGATACAAAGGCCACCTCCCTGCCTTTCAAGACCCTGCTCCAACACATGTGGGTGCTAGAAAATCCTTCAGCCCAAACTATTAAACTTTGGTAAAGACGTAAGCAACGGAACCCAGGGTCTTGTAAAGGGAAGAGTCTGGCAACTCTAACAATCTGCAGGGGTAGGAGCACTGCCAGCTCCATCCTTGGCCCACGGCGCGAAATGAGCCCAGCCTCTCGGTCCTATAGGCCAGCTCCATCCTTGGCCCACGGCGCGAAATGAGCCCAGCCTCTCGGTCCTGCAGGCCAGCTCCATCCTTGGCGCACGGCACAAAATGAGCCCAGCCTCTCGGTCCTACAGGCCAGCTCCATCCTTGGCCCACGGCGCAAAATGAGCCCAGCCTCTCGGTCCTACAGGCCAGCTCCATCCTTGGCCCACGGCGCGAAACAAGCCCAGCCTCTCGGTCCTACAGGCCAGCCCAGGGCTAACAACTAAACCGCAAAAAGGAATAATGAACAAGCAGCATCTCATTTTTTAAAATTTACCATGGGGCAGGATCCAAAATCCGTGGCACCTCAGAGAGGGCTGTAAGGGGCCACAGTTATTGGGGTGGGGGCATGGGGAAGAAAACTGCCCCGGACTTTGATCAGGATACTCTCCATGGAGGATGGGCTGGAAAAAGGGAGAAGAAAACTACAGTCTTCTTCCTCCAAAATCATAGTGATGCCTCCAGAGTGTCTCCCATCCTCTCTCCAACACACACACACACGAGTCTAGTACTCAGATTCTGCAATGCACATCAGAAAGGCAGCAGGCAGAGTGTTCTCTCTCTGTCTCCCCAGTACCGGCAAGGAGACTCGCAGTTTGTCAGAATCCAGAGGGTGTGCAGTCCTGGCTCCTGCCTCCACCCCGGCTCGTCTGGCTTCCCACGTTTGAGTCAAAACGACCGCTCCTTCACAGCTGCCCCAGCTTGCTGGGGGTGCACAGGGCAGGGGCTGGGTCTGTGTGCGAGCAGAAAGAGCCAGGAGAAGCTGCCATGCTTAGTTGGGGAGGAAGGGGGTTGAGAAGCCGCATGGGAGAGGAGACAAGGAGAACCAAGATGGCTGGGAGGGCCGACTCGCTGAGTCACGGACAGGCGTTGTGCAGGTGAACTCAGTCAGCAATGCAGAGATGAAAGGCAGGACAGGAGCTGCCCCCTTGCAGAACAGGCCAGTGGAGTTTCTCAGCACAGTTTTATAATAAACATCAGGAATTTGGGATGTAGCCCAGAGCCCAGGACCGGGCACGTTATGTCATCAGCGGGGAATGAGAATTATTCACGGCCATTTGGGCTCCTCTTGCACCTCCGGTCCCTGGGTCGCGGACAGCCCACACGCCCATCATCTCTCACACATTCTACCACAGCTATTTTGGTCCACACTTCCAAAAATGGAAGCTCCCTTTCACTCTCCATTCATCTCTTCCCAGGCCAGCATGGTTGGGGACGGAGCGATGGATGGGGGAGCCCACAGAGCCCTTTCTTTTATGAACAGTGGTGGAAAGAATGTCAGCAGCATTGCTGGGAGGGCAACTCGGCTCAGGTGCTGAGCCTTAGGCTGGCACTGGCATAAGCCAGCTGGCTAGCACTGCCCTGGGACTCCTGGGAGCAGTTCCTTCGCAAAGTCACACTCTCTCAGTTAGCAATGAAGCTGCAGAGGTGCCTAGGAGGAGCTCCCCATGCCTGTGTGCAGATGGGCATATTTTTGGGAAGGGATAGTAGGTGGGGAGAGAAGCAGGCTCAGTGGTCAGATTTCCAGGTAGTCCTTGGGAGCTCCCCCTGGCCTGCGTTGCACAGGAGGGCACCAACAGTGTGGAAAATCCTCTCAACCAGGAGCTGTGGGTCCCACCAAGCCCGGCAGGACATCCTGAGGCTCTGGGTCCCGCCAGAGTCTGTAGTCCCATAACTCCTCATGCAGAAGAATTTCTCAACTCCAGTACAGGGGAAGAATTATCTACAGCAGGGAACAATGAGAGTTTTTGAATCCAGCCTAGCATCCTTAGAGCCGGCAGCAGACCAACTCAGGCTCCCATTAGGAAGAGGGTAATACCCATCTGAGCACAGCCCCATCCCTCCCTCTCTGCATGCTGGGGTGCAACGTTATCCTGCGTGAACTGCGTTGAGCCAGAAGTGAGAGCTCCCATCTGTCAGCATCAGGAAACCCCAGACCTGGGAAGTGCATGGTGCTGTACACGGGGAGGGTTAGAAGGGACTACAAGGGTCCTCTAGTCTACCCCCCAGGGTCTTATCCTGGCTACTCATTTTGTCCATTTCAACCTTTCCATGCCCACTCTTGATTCCCTGCCACTCACTACACACCTTAGCTGAGCCAGCCCCCCCTCCTATCTCCAAGATCCCCCCACTCTCACACCACAGGGGCAACTCCAGAATAAATACAGACTGTGGGCAGTGGAGTGATTATTCCGGAATAAAGAATTATTTTTGGACTCTGGAACATGCCAGGGCATTTTTACTAACACATGCAATTCTACACTTGCATTCAAGGCATGACCGCACATGTACAGGGCCTGTGAGGTCATGCTGCATGGAGGATCCCAAAATGACATCCTCTGTGCATGTTCAGGGCCCAGATGGAATCATCCTGTGAGCACAGCTGGTCAGGAAGACGTATTCAGGACTTACATGGGCACATAGTGCATGTGTTGCGTACATAGACGGCACCCCACTGTTTGGAATGCAGCGCCCACATGGGAATGGTTATGCCCATCAGTTTCCCCGTGTAGACAAGCCCTTACCCACCCCAGGTAGAGGGCAGCCAGCCAGGAAGCAAACATTAACTCAGCTCCTCAGCGGGTGCAGCTCCATGGGAGTCAGGAGAGCTACGGTAGCTTACAGCAGCCGAGGATGTGGCCTGATGGTTTTCATGGCCACCACTGTGCTTCGGAAATTACTCTGCGCCTCTGACAGCAAATCCGCTACCCTTGGACTCCTGGGTGCACTTCGGATTGACAGGACAGGCTTCTTAACCCACTTCCATAGCTGTGACCCAGTTCAAGGGCCTTGGTGCTTTGCATTACTTGCCAACTCATTAACGTGGGGAAGAGACCTCTGCCGGATAGCAGAGCCATTGGCCTGTGCGCAGTCTATAAGCAGTGACTCTATACCCCGAAGCCTCGCTCCTCTTTATGAAGTAGTTGGCATCTCTGTGCAGCCAAGAACCTCCCAGCTTTTAATCACCCAACCACGTGGGCTTTGCCCCTCTGCAGCTGGCATTAGCTTGGAACAATACATGACTCGGGTAGCATGGCTCTCTCATGTCAGCGCAGTTACCATGGTTCACAGGCAGCCGCAGCAGCAAACCTGCCGCCAGGCCCGGGCCCACCCAGAACTTGGTTCACTGTGCTCGAATGGACTTTTCAGAAGAGCCCTAAGGGGAGGGCAATCCCACACTCCCACCCCTCTTGGGATTGCCTCTGCCCATTTCTAAAGCTGTCGTCATGGTGACGTGGACTCTTATTTGGATACACACAGGCCTGATCACAAAAGCGCGAGAGATGCTGCAGCATCTGGACTGTTGTGGCAAACCCCAATAAAGCGAGCCCATGGCAGAGAGAGCCCGTGGGCACGTCTAACTAACCAACCCTTGGAGTTACCAGCCTTTGTATTAGACAGGTAAACCCCATAACGGACTTGCAGATCC